CACAAGAAGAAGACATCAGCACCGGAATTTGCATTCCACACTCAGCGACGCTACAACAACAACAAACAACAACAACCGAAGCCCGTACCTCCGTTCTGCCACATCTGCAAGACGTCAGGGCACCCGCGCAACACAAGCAAATCCCACGACCCAGATTCAAGCCTCAACGACCTCAACAGAACAACCTGCACAAGGAGCAAGGAACATCGTCAGTTGCATGGCAAGACTGAGCGACTCCTGCATCACGGAATCACCATCGTACTACTCACCGGAAGAACAACTCGACGACACCACACCTCACCGCGATTCACTTCAGCCGAACCCGACATACGCAGCCATCGCCCAAAGCGAGCCATCCGGGAAGGACATGTGGTTCTTGGACAGTTGCTGCGGACAACACATGTGTTCTTCAGGACGCTTCGTGCAACGAGAGTACCAACTCCAACGCGAAGTAGTCATCACCGTCGCCAACAACGAAAACCTGCGCACACGACGACAAGGAGTCGTTCAACTTCAGTCACGAGAGACAAACGTCATACTACAAATGTCCAAGGTCTTAATCGCAGAAGGCCTCGGCTACAACTTACTCAGCGTTAGCCAACTGATGGCTAAAGGTATCCACCTTGAAGCAGACAACACCACTCAGGAGTTCAAGCTGTACCACGGGAAGGGCGGCCTCTACATCGGAAAGGCGATCCTAAAAAATAACGTCTTCGTTTTTTATTTTGTTCCAGACTCGGCACAGCAGACAGCGACGGCATCGTCACCTTCACTTCCTGGACCCACCCTCCAGATCTTGATCCAGATTTCAGCCCCGGCGGCTTCTGGCATTCACACACCATCCCTGAGGCAGAAAGAACAAGGGCGTTAGCAACAATTCAACACTCGGCAGCAGCAGAGACAACATCGGAAGCAGCAGAGACAACATCGGAAGCAGCAGAGACAACATCGGCAGCAGCAGAAACAACATCGGCAGCAGCAGAGACATCAACGGCAGCAGCAGGAACGTCAACACCAGTCGCTGGTCCTTCAACGGCACCACCCTCGTCGACGACACACCACCGACACCCGCGCAACGACTACACCCAGCACCACGAGAAGTTCATCGAAGCGCCAACTTCACCGCCAGCTTCTACTCCAACTCCGATATGTATCGGCGCTCACCCGAACATCGTGCAACCGAAGGAACCTGGCACGCAAGAATGGGACACCCAAGCAACACGGTGTTAAACAACACGATAAGAGCAGGCGTGCTCGATAAAGACTCTCTACTCCTAACTGACGGCAGAGAACTTCAGCGAGCTCGAGGTACATGCTTCACCTGTCCCGAAGCTGACTTTCCGCATCAACCGTTCGCGTCTCACCACAACCCAAGCGCACCAGCTTACGCGCCACTCGAGAAGGTGTACAGCGACATCTTGTACAACCGCGAGCCTGGACAAAACGCGTACAACTACACCATCACCTTCATCGACGCCGCCACACGATACGTCTGGCATCTAAACCTTCCGAGCAAAGACATGGCCTTCGAAGCCTTCGTCGCGTGGCTCCCAGTAGCAGAGCGAGAATCGGGCGTCAAACTGAAGAGCTTCCAGTCAGACGGGGGAGGAGAATACACCTCACAGAGGTTCAAGCAGTACTTGGCTGAAAGGGGAATCAAGCGGCTCATCTCCCTTCCCTACGCCCATCAACAGCAAGGTGTAGCAGAAAGGATGAACAGGACCCTCCAGAACACCATGCGCAAGCTGCTACGTGGCATGCACCTGCCCAACCACCAGTGGCCCGAAGCAATGGACCACGCCGTCATGCTGCACAACTTGCTCTCGTCATCATCGCTCCCGAACAACGCATCACCGCACCTGCTGTGGACAGGAAAGCAGGGCAGCACAAAAATGTTAAGAGTCTTCGGCTGCATGGTACAGTACCGGCCCCCATCTGCACGAGCCGGCCGATTCTCCCAACGCGCACAGTGGGGACTACACCTGGGCATCGAAAAGCATTACAACGCATGGAAAATTGACGTCATTTTCTACGAAAACCTCACCCTCCGGTATTACCTTGCCAACTTGCAAGAAGAAAACCCCGATCGCTTCAATGGTTTAATTGGCACCCGAGCCTTCGCCTCGGCAGACGACGAAGCTGACTGGGATGAGCAGAACGTGGAAGGAGCCTCGGAAGAAGCCGGACCCCTCCCCTACTGCTCCGTCGACGTGCCAATGGACGACGAAAACCTACGCGAAAGCATCAACGCCGAAGCCTATTACCATTTCGCTGACAACGGTTACGTTACACCTGCACAAGTCAACACCGACGAAGCAGAACGCGTAGGACCTAATTTCGCACCTGATCCAGAAGCGGGAGATGAAGCAGTTTATCCCGAGGACACTTCACTCCCCCGCTACACACAGAGTGGACTCCAAATCCTTGGCCTCGTCACCGCAGTTCACGGCGCAGCCATTCCTAAAGAGCCTGCGACAGTTCAATAGGCTCTGGGGGGGGAACATAAAGAAAAATGGCGCGAAGCCATGGACAGGGAGCTAAAGGCACTGGAGGAACGCAACACCTGGAAGGTCGTCCCTATCGGCGTAGCACGGAACAAAACAGTACTCACCGGGAAGTGGGTCTTCCGTGTGACAAAGGCTGACGGCACCATCGACAAGTTTAAAGCTCGCTGGGTCATACGCGGCTTCGACCAAGAACACGGACGCGACTTCACCGAAACATTCGTTCCGGTCAGTCGACACACTTCACTCCGAATCCTCCTCGCGATCGCCGCCATGAAGAAGAAGAAGCTGCGACAAATCGACGTCGCGAACGCATTCCTCTACGCACATGTTGACGCAGAAATCTTCGTCGAATTGCCGCACGGCTCCAACGGTGAGCCCAATCAAGTCTGTCAGCAGCTAAAGTCGCTCTACGGCATCAAGCAAGCTCCGCGGCTATGGCAACAATACCTGCACGCTCGCCTCATTCGCATCGGCTTCAAACAACTACCGCACGATCAGGGCATGTACCGGCTCACGAAGGGCACCGACTACATCCTGTTAATCGTCTACGTAGACGATCTACTCTACATCGGCTCGACCGACGGCATCACAACCTGGTTCGAAGGGGAGCTGCAGAAGGACCTCACGCTCACGGTCTCATCTACCGTCACACAGTACCCCGGTCTCAACATCCGAGAAGAGGAAGACGCAATCTACCTCAGTGCCGCGAAATACGCCATCTCCACACCGTACCGCTACACGACGGGAAACAGCAAGGGAAGCTCCGCTCTACTTAAGCCCGTCGGCATACGCGACTACCAGAGGAAACTGGGATGCCTCCTTTTCGCAGCTGTCACCTGCCGCCCGGACCTATCGTACTCTGCAAGTCAGCTCGCCACCTACCTCAAGAAGCCTGAAGCGGAACATCTAGCAGAGCTCGACCGCGCTCTTCACTACCTCGTCAGCACCCCGACGATCGGCCTAACTTACTACAAGAACGCAACTACACCGCCTAAGTTAATCGGCTAAGTCGACGCCGATCACGCTGGCGATTCCGACAACAGGCGCTCCCGCACCGGTTACATCTACCGCCTCGAACCTATCGGACCTATCTCTTGGCAGTCGAGCAAGCAGGAATTAATCGCCCTCTCGTCAGCTGAAGCAGAATATATTGCACTCTGTTCAGCCACCAAGGAAGGACTTTACCTTCGCGAACTGCTGGAAGAAGCGAAGCTGGCTCAGCTACCCAGCTTCACTCTGTTCTGCGACAACCAGTCGGCAATTCGCATCGCCAACAAGAACGGCTTCGCGAACAGGACGAAACACATCGCTCTGCGATATTTCTTCGTGAAGGACGAGATCGAGAAAGGGAGGCTCGAGCTGTCATACTGCCCCACGTCCGAGATGGCAGCTGACTACTTGACCAAGAAGCTCGGAAAGCAGAAGTTCGAGTACTGCATGCTGCTGACTGGACAGAGCCACGTCACCAGCAGCGACACTCCAGAAGCGAAGGGGAGTGTTGGAAACAATCGATCTTAAGCGCCTCTGTCGTGTCGAAACACTAAGGCACAAACGAAGCGAAGCATATCGAAGCACCGGCGAGTCAACCCTCGGAGGTTGAAAGTAACTGTTGGAGGTTACGCGAAAGTCAAAGGTCAGCGACCTTTGACCTGACAAAGTACAGCGCGACAGCAAGGACACACAACTGACTCGCTACAGAGCAGTTGCTCGAGTCGTCACTGTATCGAACCGCAACAGCAACAGTAAAACAGTTATAACTGTACCCCTTCATATTCCTTGTACTCTTATATAATCTTGTATCTCTTTGTTTTAATCAATCTACTTTGCCCTCACATACTAGCGCAAGGTGGTTCAACCACTTCATTAAAGGCTTCCGCTATTACATTATCCCTACCCAGAATTCACCCTTGTAAAGATCCTAAGGGCTATTTTCTCAGCCCAACATCCACCACTGCAGCAGCTGCTGTTTTAGCTGTCGAATTGGATGTACGGTGGTAGTTTGTAAAACACGAATTTGTGGTATCAAGGCTGCCGTGGCGGTGGCGCGAACAAACTTACCGGTACGGTATGTCCGGTGTAGGAATGTGCAAAATATAGTACAGTTTGCACTATGACATGCATGTTGCCTACAGTTTTCACAAAACACCGTACGCGTACCGTTCGTACCGTACATATTAATCCCTTTTTATATCAAACTGTTTGCCACAAAAAGAAAATGCATGTTAGTACACAACCTCTGGTCCTAGTATTTTCTGGGGAAAGTCCCTCCGGCCCAAAACAGATCCCTCCAGTCCCTTCCCTCCATTCCCCAAGGAACGGCCACAAGCAAGCAAAGGCAAACACAAATTTCACCCACGCCAAGACAAACACAAAACCCACTACATCCCAATCCCTTTCCCCGTCTAAGATCACAACTATTCATCCTGTCATCCCAACCTGCTTCCCTCGTTCCGCCAGTCCATTACATCCTCCTCCCCCTCCACTTCCACCGTGTTATTCCTCCTCCTCGTCCTCATCACCCCCCTCGTCAATGTACCTGTCATCCTCACTGTCCCTGCCATAACGATGCATGATCCACAAATCCTCACCACCACTCTCTGCATCCTCCTCTGCCTCGCTGTCCGCCTCGTCCCCTTCCCCTGCTGCATCTCCTCCCTCCTCACCCTCTGCCTCCTCCCCTCCTTCCTCCTCCTCGTCCTCATCACTCGACCCCCAGCCCCCCTCGTCGACGTACCTGTCATCCTCACTGTCCCTGCCATAGTCATGCCGGATCTGCAATCTCTCAAACAAACTCTCTGCATCCTCCTCTGCCTCGCTGTCCGCCTCGTCCCCTTCCCCTGCTACATCTCCACTCTCCTCACCCTCTATTTCCTCCCCTCCTTCCTCCCCTCCCCCTTCCCCTACCGCATCTCCACCCTCCTCACCCTCTCCCTCCTCCCCTCCGTCCTCCTTTCCTTCACCAACCGCCACTCCTTCTCCCTCCTCCCCATCCCCCTCTTCCACCCTTGCAGGAGCCCACCTCCCGTCTCGCCAAGGGAGAAGAGGACACTTCCTGACATCATACTCGCGCAACGTTGCCATTCTCCCGAGAGCAGTCGGCAGCCGTGCCAGCTTGTGGCACGCAATCACCCGCAGCACCTGCAGCTTAGGCAACCTAGACAACGACTCTGGCAAGCTGCGCACATGCTTCAGCCCCAGGAGCACCAGCGTTTGGAGGGAAGTCAGCTTCCAGAAATCACCTGGAATTGTCACAATCCCAAGCTTGGTGAGGATACAGGACTGTAGCTTGGACAGATCCGCGAAGGAACTTGGAAGCTTCTTCAGCTTGTAGCAGTCAACGATCTCCAGCGTTTCAAGCATTTTCATCTGCCCAAAAGACTCGGGCAGCTGCCGTAATGCAGTCGGGTAAACCAGCTTTAAAACCCGCAGACCTGAGAGCCCTCCGAAGGCGTCAGGCAGAACCTTCAACTGGATGGCCGAATAAATTCGGAGTTTTTTCAGGCGCGAGAGTTGAGAGATGGTCTCTGGGAGCGATACAAGGTAGCATAGGTTCAGGAGCTTGAGCTTCGTGAGAGAGGAAAGCTGGCCAAGGGACGGACCAATGGTGTGGCAACAAAACGACTTCATCTTGAGACTCGTGAGGGACGGAAGCAGTGCCCTGCTGCTGCTGCCGGTGCCGGTGCTGCTCGTGCCGGTGCTGCTCGTGCCGGTGCTGCTCGTGCCGGTGCTGCCGGTGCCGGTGCTCCCGGTGCTGCTGGTGCGGGTGCGGTTAGAGTGTGCCAAAGAGCCACTGGAAATGCGTTCGGCCACCACTTCATCCCCTAGCAGCGCGCCAACCCCACAGCATGCCCGCACCTCCAGCACGCGCAGGCGGGGCAGCCTAACCAGCGACCCAGGGAGATGCTTCAAGCCGTCCATCCGTGCGATCTTCACCACCTCGAGCGCCTCCAGCCGTCCGATTCCCTCTGGCAGAGCCGTTACTTTAGGGCAGTTCAAAATATCCAGGCTGGTGAGTAAAGAAGCGCCGGAGAAGGGGTCAGGAAGGGCGGATAGGCGGAGCATGTGCTGAAGCACCAACTCCTTGAGGCTTTTCAGGCAGCAGAAGCCGTCTAGTAGGGTGCCTCTAAAGCCTTTCGCTTTGATAATCTTGAGGGTTTGGAGAGAAGTCAGGCCGGAGAAGGTTGGAGGGAGGTGGGTGAGGGATGAGCAGCGGTTCAGATGCAGATAACGCAAACAGTGCAGGCCGTTCCCTATTTCATCTGGCAGCGCGGTGAGGCCCGTGCACGTCTTAATCTCCAGGTGCTCGAGAGACGACAGCTGGGATAGGGTGTCCGGAAGTTGCCGCAGCTGCCCGCACTCCTCTATTTTCAGCTCCCGGAGAGCTGTCAACTGCCCGAGGGAATCAGGCAGGCGTGTGAGCTGGCAAAGGTTTTTCAGGTGCAGAGTTTCCAAAGCACTCAGCTGCCCGAACTCCTCGGGCAGAGACGGCAGGTTCCAGAAATTATCCAAGGAAAGTTCTTGAAGCGTGGTAACCAGAGCGATGGAATGAGGAAGACTTGTGAGCTCCTTCATCTCCAGATTGAGTGTTCGCAGCTTTGACAACAGCCCAACATGGTCAGGAAAAGCTGAGAGCTGTGGCATTTCAAGGGTGAGACTGGTGAGTGACGGCAGGCGGAAGAGAGACTCGGGCAGAGACGTGATATCGCTGCAGCGTTTGATCACTAGAACCTTGGGCCGCCACAGATGCTCTAGGGCATCAATTAGCCCGCGCATTCCCGTCACTCCTTCCAGACAGACGGATTCGAGCCTCCACAGTCGCGGAAAACTGACGGGAGACGGGAGAAGAAAGTGGCAGCATCGAATCTCCAGGACGGCGAGAGAAGGCAGCTCGGTGAGGGACGCAGGCAGCTGCAGCATGGAGCAGTAATCCAAGGATAGAAGGTTCAGATTGGCAAGTTGCCTGAAAGATTCCGGAAGCGACGCCAGGGAGCGGCAACTGTCCAGCTTGAGCGACGTTAGGCGAAGCAGATTGCCGAGATCTGACGGCAACGCCTCGAGTCTGCCAGCGTGCAGCTCGAGGCTTCTGAGAAGCTGCAACGAGGTCAATGTGTCGGGAAGTTTCGTGACGCTTGCCTCGAGATGCAGGTTCCTGAGCAAGGTGAGTTGGCCGATTGATGGAGGAATAGCAGCAGCAGGATACACCGAACACTCCAGATGGAGATCTTCCAGTTGAGTACACTTGCCGAATAGAAACTCCAGGCTCTGCTCGCTTACGCCTTTGCGACTGTATATAGAACGGTCCATCGATTCTACTCGAAGCGCGGTCAGATGAGGACACAAGTCCGCGAGGCGAGAGAACAAGAAATCCGAGGGGGCGGTGAGGCTGTTAGTTGGAAGAATGAGCTTTCTGAGGTTGGTGAACAACGCCAGACGTTGAACGAGCCGACGCGGATCCATGCAGAGGTTCGAAGGCAAGTGGATCTCATGTTGCAAGCGGTATGCGAGGCGACGCCATTGCTTGCTCACACCTGCATGCTCCAGCTGACCATCAGGTCGAACCAGAAAACGCAGGATCTGGGAAAGCAGCTCCTCCGGTAGCCGTTGGATAGGCGAGTCGACTGCCATCTTGAAACAAGGGACTAACAAAAGACTAACACCTTTCTGTAAGCTAACACCGCCAACAAGGTAGACTACTAGTCAGGAAATAGAAGCTAGGCTAGACAACCCACATGAAGCATGCCCAGAGGACTTGTGAGAGTGAGGTGACTCCTGGTTTGTCAATGGAACCGTACTGCATCGCTTAATATATCAAACCGTTCCCGCCAAATTATTCCACGAATGGAAGGTTTGCAAGCATCGGCAAACTCCCTCCGTCCGTCCCTCTGCAAAGGGCTTGCGCCCTCCATTTGCGTTGACATGCGGACGTGCATCCTCGTGGGGAGGCAGCGACGACGACAGTACCCGTTTATAGGTGCGGACATACAAATCCATAACAATATAACCAAATAAGCAAAAACAATCCTTGGTTAGTGTAAGGAAAAATCATTTTCCTTACTTCGCGTCCCTGCTCAGCGCGTACATTACTATTCCCGCCAACAGCACCCAACAGTAATCCGTTACCACTCGCGACACTCGCCTCGACACTGTTCCCGCCACTGTTCACGACGCGACCCAACCTCACGGTTCGGTTGGTAACCTGCGCTCCGGACCTCCGCCTCGACAATTCCCAACCTCGGCGCCAGGCCCGTCGCGCACCCCATTTTCCACGCATTACCGTTACCACTGTAGTTTCGCTATATATCCTTCGCTCATGCCTTCGCTCATTGTACTTTTGCTTCGATAGTGCAATTCTCGCTCGCTCACTCAATTGCACTCGTAACACTTGGTATTCAGAGCCTACGATCTCTTCTCGGACCGCACCCACACCTTCGCTTCCCCACTATCTCAATTTTTTGGGGGGGGTAGACGTCTCTCAGCGACACAGCACCGCCGCTCGTAGTGCTCTCTCGTAAGCACGCACGACCACGACAGAGGCTCTCGCTGAGCTCGCCCGACAACCCCGCCATGGCCGAATTCACTCTCGCAACATTGACGCAGGAGCAGCTCGACCGTCTGGTGCGCCAAGTTGAAGATTCGGCGCTCGAAATTGCGACGCTCACGGCGGAACGTGACTCCGCGCGTCAGCAATCTACGACGAACGCTCCAGCATCACAAAATGCACCTGCACAATCGGACGAGCCGATCGTCATCTCGTCCGGCACACCAACACAACATGACAGCGTGGGACAGCGCTCAGGAGCAGCCAGTGATAGCGCCGCCCAACCAATGCCTGGCATGGGAGGAAACAGGGTCGCGCCAAGCCCGCGGGAGCCTCGTGAAGCCCGTCGGCACGTGGAGTTCGCGGCGACAAGTGGCGAACAGGCCATCATGGCACCAATGCCACTCAAGCCACAACGCCCGCCCTGCTTCGACCCGAGCCAGCGTGGAGGTCCGACGGTTCAATCGTGGGTCTTCACGATGAACGTCTTCTTCGACGCGAATTACGTCGAGTCGGACGCAGCGAAGATTCGGTATGCCGTTTCGCTGCTAAGGGGCCCCGCCATGGACTGGTGGCGAGTCATCGTGACGTCGCCACGCGCCTACGAGCCACCGTCGCAAGAGGAAGGGCCCACGGGTCCAGCTGTCTGGAGTTCATTCTGCGAAACCGCCCAATACAGCACGTGGGATGCGTGGTGCGCAGGGCTTCGGGCGCGCTTCGAGCCGATCGCGGCTTCTATTTCGGCGCGTCAGAGATTGCGCACTTGGCGGCAGCTCGGGTCGGTTCAAGATTACACGAGCGGTTTTCTCACACTTTGCGAGCAGGTCGGCTACATGCACGAAGCGGAGCGGGTGGACCGTTACGTTGGAGGGCTGAAGCCGGATATCTCGTACGAAATCATGCTGCGCGGACTCTCGAACTTCAACGAGATTCTCGCGCTCGCCGAGAAAATTGACATTTTGCGCCGTCCGAGACCGGGGTCCTACTACGGACATCGTCCTCGGGGACCGATCGAGCACGCCACTGTAAACGCTGTTGCGACGAATGCAGCTGCCGCACCGTTTAAGGGGCGCTGCTTTGCTTGCAACAGGCCGGGCCATCGCAAGAGCGAATGCCCAGAGGAGTTGAGGCGCCGCGGAGCAGAGCAGGGGAGGGAGTCTCAGAGGCAGGGAAACGCCAGCAGTCAGTAGGAGTCGGGCCAACTACTGACGAGACTGCCTGCTCGCCCAACCACACCGACCCTCACCGAGTCACAGTACCGATTCACGCCATCGATCGGGCTCGGACGAATAAGGAGGGTACAGCGACGGATTGCCCAGTACTGATCCACGGGAAAATACAGGGAGCAGCAGTGAAGATATTTATCGACGGAGGAGCAAGCCACAGTTTAGTTAATACCGCAACCGCAAGGAAACTGCAACTGACTCTTAGCCGGTGCTTACCAGAGATCGACGCACGCTTAGTTGACGGCACGCCGCTGGCCATACGGGAGAAGGTGGAAAGAGTAAAAGTTCGCTGCGGGGGGAACTTCGGGTTTACACAGGAAATGCTCGCGACGACACTGGATGGGCACGACATTTTACTGGGACGTGATTGGCTGCGACGGTATAACCCGCGAATCGACTGGACGACGGGTAGCTGCACTGTGCGAAGTAGCGGTAACTGGGTCGCGCTACCTCGCTGGCAGTCGCCTGAGTCTTCAACGGTCCACGTCAACGCCATCACAATGAAACGGGCAGTCGCCGCTGGGGCTGACGTGTACGCAGTGGACATTGCAGTAGTAGGAGAAGCAGAGCAGCCGAACGATTTTCAGAAACTGTTAGCCGCAGTACCACCCGAACTACAGGAGCTGTTGAAACGGTACCCGGGGATTTTTCCCGACGACTTACCGGAGGGGCTGCCACCTCAGCGGGCGCACGACCATAGGATAGAGTTAGAACCGGGGGCGCAGCCAACTGTACAGCGCCAGTTCAGACTGACACAGCCCGAGCTCGACGAACTGAGGAAGCAGTTAGATTATTTGTTAGAGAAGTAGTTTATCCGGCCAAGTTCGTCACCATTCGCTGCACCGATAATGTTCACACCGAAAAAAGACGGAGGGTTTCGCATGTGCATCGATTACCGAGCGCTCAACAGGGTAACAGTCAAGTCGCGGTACCCCATTCCCCGCGCCGACGAACTGATCGACCAACTGCGAACAGCACGGGTGTTTTCGAAATTAGATTTACGGGGAGGTTACTATCAAATTAGGGTCGTACCATCGGACTGCGCCAAAACAGCTTTCAGGACTAGATACGGGTCATTCGAGTACACAGTGATGCCTTTCGGGCTGACCAACGCACCAGCGACATTTCAGATGACCATGAACGAGGCGTTTAGGCCACTTTTAGATAAATGCGTGATAGTTTACCTCGACGACATCCTTGTTTACAGTCGTGACAAGCAGCAGCACTTAGCGGATCTCGAAGCAGTTTTTCAGATTTTAGATAAGCATCGGTTACTAACCAAAGGTTCTAAGTGCTAGTTTTTTCAGGACAGGCTCGAGTTTTTGGGGCACGTTATTTCGGAGGCTGGGGTTGAGATTGACCCGAAGAAGCTGGACACTGTCAAAGCCTGGCACCCCCCGACGAATATCACGGAGCTGCAGAGTTTTTTTGGGTTTGTTAATTACGTCCGTCGGTTCGTCCCCGACATGGCTCGCTTAACAGCCCCACTGACGGATCTGCTGCGGAAGGGGGTCGCTTTTACGTGGGGGGAGAATGAGCATGCTGCCTTCTCTGCCCTGAAAAATGTTCTCTGTTCACCGCCCGTCCTGCGCATCGCCGACCCACACCGCCCATTCGAAGTAGTTACCGACGCAAGTGACATCGCCATCGGGGCCGTACTGCTACAGGATTTCGGCAACGGCCTACAGCCCATCGCATACAAGTCACGAAAACTGCATCCGCCCGAGAAAAATTACCCGATACACGACCGCGAAATGCTTGCAATCGTGCACGCGTTCAAAGTATGGCGCCGTTACTTGACCGGCGCAGACGTGACAGTACGGACAGACCACCGATCCCTACAGTACCTCCGCGCACAACCCCACCTTAACCCACGACAAATTCGCTGACTCGATTTCCTCGAGTCAAACTTCCACTATACGGTCACCTACAAAAAAGGAGCATCCAACATCGCTGACGCACTGACCCGCCCCACTGCCCAAATCTACGCGATACTACTCGCCCAGACCAGCCCACTACTGACAGGACTATTCACCCACGGATATCAAACGGACCCATTCTTCACAGGAGGAAACTCGCAGCAGTTCGCAGCAGCCAAGGGAGTCTATTACGTAAAAGCCGGGACCGACCGCATCTGGGTACCAGGGTACACACTGCTACGGGAATTACTGTTACAGGAGGCACACGACGGAGTTACCTCGGGGCATTTCGGAGTAGAAAAAACACGGCAGCAGCTGCAGCGGTATTATTACTGGGCCGAGATGTTGACCGACGTTCAACGACACGTGGCATCGTGTCCCACCTGCCAGATCATGAAGTCATCACGGAAGCGGCCGGCAGGACAGTTGCAGCCGATACCACCCCCATAGCGTGCTTGGCAGCAGGTGACGATGGACTTCGTCACGGGGTTACCGGCCGGAGCGAGTGGGAATGACGCGATCCTGGTCGTCGTCGATCGACTAACGAAAATGGCGCACTTCGCAGCCTGCAAAAAGTCAATCACAGCCGAGGAAACAGCCCGCCTCTTCATCTCTACCGTCGTTCGACTGCACGGGATACCAGCATCGATCATCAGCGACAGAGACACGAAATTCACCAGCAACTTCTGGCGGAATCTGTGGCAGCAGTTCGGCACGCGACTACAGTTTAGTTCATCATACCACCCCGAAACCGACGGACGGACAGAACGGACAAATCAGACCATGGAACAGCTCATCCGGGCCACGTGCGATGATCCCAACACATGGGAACAGCAACTGCCACTCATCGAATTCGCATACAACAACTCGCCATCTGCCACGACCCAACAGTCACCGTTTTACCTAAACTACGGACAAGACCCCACAGTACCCATGACCCCGAATCCCGACAACCCAGTCCCACGCGCACAACAGTTCGCAGAAATATTACAAGCAGCACGGACCCGAGCAGCAGAAGCAATAAAAAATCAAACATCATCGCTAAGCGCAACGCCGACCGACACCGCCGCCCCGTCACTTACCAACCCGACGACCTGGTCTTACTCGACACTCAAAACCTCCGCCTGCCCATCACCCCGAAACTCCGCCCCCGATATTGCGGGCCATTTCGCATCAGCCACATGATCACACCCGTCACCGCCCACCTCCTCCTCCCTGCTGACTGGTACGTCAGCCCGTCATTCCACGTCAGCCTGCTCCGCCCATACGTGCCATCCACCAGCCAACTGCCTCGCAACCGCCCCGCCAGCATGACACGACCACCGACTGAGCCAGTCATCACGCCTGAGAAAATACTGAGCCATCGAGTACGTGACCCACGGGGAGCCCGCCGAATCGAATTCCTAATCCGCTGGAAGGACCGCACGCCCACCGAAGACAACTGGGTCCCCCTGGATAGAATTGAGAACCACCCTGTCCTCACTGAGTACCTGCGAAGCCGAAACTTCCGAGATGTACACGCGCTCTCGTAAGAGGGGCCTCCTTGGGGAGGGGGGTAGTGTAAGGAAAATTCATTTTCCTTACTTCGCATCCCTGCTCAGCGCGTACATTACGGTACTATTCCCGCCAACAGCACCCAACAGTAATCCGTTACCACTCGCGACACTCGCCTCGACACTGTTCCCGCCACTGTTCACGACGCGACCCAACCTCACGGTTCGGTTGGTAACCCGCGCTCCGGACCTCCGCCTCGACAATTCCCAACCTCGGCGCCAGGCCCGTCGCGCACCCCATTTTGCACGCATTACCGTTACCACTGTAGTTTCGCTATATATCCTTCGCTCATGCCTTCGCTCATTGTACTTTTGCTTCGATAGTGCAATTCTCGCTCGCTCACTCAATTGCACTCGTAACAGTTAGCAACCATCACGTTTCAATTACGGTACAGTTTTATGCAGAATGCATCTCAATGCCGGGCAATGCAAAATCTACAGAAACGCAGTATCTGTTTCGTTTGCTATAATCGTTCAAACTCACAATGTGTGACTACCACAATGCTGTCCAGAAGTGCAATATTGTCAATGCCATAGTGCGAAAGCTGACTATTGCGGACAAAACCCACAAATACACAACATAACACATTTACACGCAAGTATAGATCCTACCTACTTGATTACACGATAACACACTTATAAGATCAACTCAATAGGCGCAACCTTGCTGCCTTCAACTCCTTCCTACTGCTGCACCTCCCACGCCCGTCAACCCTTCTCCTGCTGCGGTCTCATTCGAGAAGATAGGAAACCCCACTCCCTCCACCACCGAACTCCCCCGACCCTCCCCACGGCGCAGCACAATGAAGCCGGACCCCTTGGTCTCAGGCACCTGCTCGAAGCCCCCGTGCTGCGAGAGGAATGTAGCAGGGATGCTGGCGCGGTCGTTGGTGGAGGGGGTGGGCGAGGAGGCGGCGGAGGCAGGGAAGAGCCCCGGGTGTGAGTCAAAGATGGCCGTGCGCGGGCCGGTGAGCAGCCAGTGCGCGTCGTGATGGGGTGAGGCTGAGTCGTGGTGGGCGGAGGGGGCGTGGAAGAGCGGCTCCTCGTTGCCGTGCGTGTTGATTCGCACGAGGTCAAAGCGCGGCAGGGCGAGGAAGCGCAGCAGGAAGGGGCCTGACAGCCCCGGCACCACGTCCGCCTGCGCCCAGCTGGACTCCGCTCCCTGTGTGGGGATGGGATGGGATGAGGGAGCAGTGGCATGTGCAAGATGAAAGAGTGATACTACTAAGTGGGCAGGGACGAAATGGAGCAGGGAAGAGGGAACACGGAGAAAGTGGCACATGGAGGCAAGTACAGCAGGCCTCACATTCAGCACACCTGGGCGTTTATGGACTGGGCGGGCGTGAGGCGGCCATCCTGCCCCACATGCAGGCTGGTCTCGTACGGCCACAGCCCGCCCCGCACAGCCACCACGTTGGGCAGCGCTGCTGTGTTGCGCTGCAGCGCTCTGAAGCTGCTCTCCCCCGCCTCCACCGCCACCACCGTGGCTTGTGGATTCCTGCCAGGGAAGCAACGCACGCAGGTGGCGTGTGGCATGTGGCACAGGCGGTAAGGTTGAGTCCCTGAGACCATAAGCACGGTGCCCCAAACCGCGCCTTAGGCACCCTCTATACACTCTAACCCCGGCCCAAAAGCTCAACCCATGCCGTTCACCTCAAGCCTGCTTCACTCACAGGGCGGCGAGCAGCACTCACAGGGCGGCGAGCAGCACTCACAGGGCGGCGAGCAGCAGGGAAAGCACGCCCACACCAGCTACGGCATCGAGAATGGCGAGCACTCAACCCATGCCCATCCACTCAACCCATGCCCATCCACTCAACCCATGCCCATCCACTCAACCCATGCCCATCCTCTCAACTCAACCCATGCCCATCCTCCCAAGCCAGCACCCAGAGCAGCACTCACAAGGCAGCGAGCAGCAGGGAGAGCACGCCCACGCCAGCGCCGGCGTCGAGGATGGCGAGCAGAGCGGGGTCGGCGCGCAGCACTGGCAGTGCTGCGTCCTTCTCGTAGAACTGGTGCAGCGCTGCCACGTCTGCCATGGGGGGAGGGGGCCACGTGGGGGGCGGGGGGAAGTAGGGGAAAGCGGGGGAGAGGAAAGTGGGAGAATGGGGGGAGGGGAGAAGGACGGAATGCAGGGAGGTGCGGAGCGGGGCAGTGAGTGAAGGACGCCAGGTGGTGATGGCAGGTGTGGCGATGGCACGGGTGCCGAGGGGTTGTGCCAACGGAACTTGCACGCGATGGCAGAGCAGCACGAGCACAGTGGGAGAGCGAGAAGACGGGTAGGGGAAGCTTGCATACTCCTTCGCCCCCCCTCTCGCATCCCCTTCCTCCTCACCATCACTTCTGCATATCTAACAACTATCAGGTGCCTCCCTTTCCCACACCCCTTCCCGCCCCCCCCCTCTGTACTGCCAGGCCCCCCCTCTGTACTGTCAGGCCCCCCCTCTGTACTGCCAGGCCCCCCCTCTGTACTGCCAGGCCCCCCCTCTGTACTGCCAGGCCCCCCCTCTGTACTGCCAGGCCCCCCTTCTGTACTGCCAGGCCCCCCTTCTGTACTGCCAGGCCCCCCTTCTGTACTGCCAGGACCCTGCGCACCTTCCTTGAGGTGGCGGAGCCAGAGGGCGTGCAGGCAGGGCAGGTGGGGGAGGCAGCCGAGGTCGCGGCGCAGGGAGCAGGCGAGCACGCAGGAGAGGCGCGCGGGGTCGTTGTCCCTCGACACCTCGCGCTCCAGCAGCCCCCAGTCCATCCACACGCCGCCCAGATAGTACCGCGCCTCGCCCATGGCGCAGTGGTGCGCGCGCTGCAGCGCCTCCGCGAGCTGATCCTCGCTGTACGCGCACAGCTGCGCTGCCCCGCGGTGCCCCGCGCGCACTGCTACTGCGCCCGCGTGCGCCGCGCGCGGAGCGACGCTGTTGGAGAGCGCCGCCACCGCGGGATGCACCTGAGCGGCGGAGATGGGGCGCGGGGGATGGGATGCGTTGGCGAGGAGTGGCGGGCATTGGGAGATCGAGAGCGGAGGGGAGAAGGACAGGGACAGTGGCCAATGCGTGAGAAGGATGGGTGCGGAGGGGGCGGGATGGCAGAACGAGCATGAGAAGGCGGATGATTCTACAGGCCGCGCCCCCATGGCGTACCGGCGCCACGTGGCGTACCGACGCGACGTGGTCGTCGAGCTGCGCGAGGAAGGTCTGCTGGAAGCGCTGCTGCTCCGCCAGCAGGCGCTGCAGCCCCTCGCCGTCGCGCCGGTCGCGACCCCACAGCGCCACTGCCGCCCCGATGAGCACCGTCGCCAGCACCATCGCGCCCACCGCCCGCCGCGTCAGCGGCGCTCGCTCCCGCGCCATTCGCAGTTCTGACTCGCAATGAGCGGGGGATTCCTGCTAGTCCATGAAACCCTAGTGTTGGAAAGGGCTAAATTGAGAAGCAGTCGTGGTTGTAATCGAAACGATTAACCGATCAACAACGGGTCGCGCGAGAGGCACATGAGCGAGCACAGAAATCTCCGCATGCGCCCATCGCAACTACCCTGTGATTCCCTGGCCGTGTTTCTACGATCCTGATTACCCCTCCGTGGTCGAGAATCTACGACAGGCAACCTATGATGACTGACTGCACAATCAACTGGTAAAAAAAAACGCGAATGGCCATAGATGAAAATCCCGCCAAAACAAAATGAAACCCAAAAAGAACCTGGATGCATTTTCGAATGAATCAACCCTAAACACGTAACTCGCCAAGTGTTTAGGGTTGATCAGTTCCCAACCGCGTCCGATTCCGATTGGGTTTTAGATTTTTTACAGGTTAGCAGATTGGTTGGGCGCGAGCGGGAAATTTGTTGAGTTTCAAGTGTATTTGGCGGGAGTTACATGTGTGACCATTCGCGTGATTTCTTACATGTTGTTAGTGACTGAATCCGTGACCCCACTTACCAAACCCGTCAGGAAACCCGATACAGTGGCCGTACGCGTTTTTTTCTTACCATTCACGTTATCGAGTCCCAAGTTGGTTACCCATGGCATATTTTCCCTTTTCCTGTCTTCAAACTGTTTTCACAGGTGCATATGGCAGCAGAAGTCTCAAAAGTGAGGTGGTCCTGGAACAGGAGCTGGGAGGTGCGGAACAGAGGAAGTGGGCTCTCAAAGCATGGGAAGCAACGCCCCAGAGGTGGAGGGATTTGCTACTCAACCAATTGACAGCGGAAGAGGTTTTTAGGGAGACGGCGCTTATTTGCTCACCGTCTTACCGGCCGGGAAAGTTCCTCTACTACCAGCTGGAACACGTGGAAGACGGCGTGTTGTACGGGAGGATGGTGGAAGTGGATAAAAAAGGTTTCATATCGGTGGTGAGGTACGCTGACGTGACGACGGTGAATTTCCTACGAGCTACGCCCATGGCGGTCATTGACGGGAGAGTCCGCGGCCCGCTTGGAACCCCGAGAACAAGGCTGCTATACACTCCGATCTGTGAAAAAGGGGAGCGAGCCGGGCTGAAGCAGCTGAGGAAGGCGATGAAACCCTCTTTGTCTCAGCCAAAGCAGCAGTTGCGGTGGGAGGAGGTGGCAGGGAAGAAAATCGATTGGGGGAAGGCCATCACGGTCCGGGACTCTTTGGCAACCCCATGCAGAGCGAGGGAGGTGGTGCTGAGGCTGCACAGCAACAACCTGCAAGTGGGGGAGAGGCTCCCTTTCCTGGGGGAGAGGGCGAAATGTGTGTACTGCGGAGGGGTGGAGTCGCAGGATCACTGTTTATTCAGCTGCCCGGCGATCCAGCCAGTGGTCAGGGTAATGAAGGGTGCGGTACAGTGCATGAATCCGGGCAGGGAAATGAAGTCCCTCGGAGACATGTTGTTCCAGAAGAGTGGCACGTCGTCAGGTTTTCCGGAAGCAGCCATCATTTCAATTACAGCACAGCAAGTGTGGCTGGAGAGGTGCAATGCGGTGTTCCGTGGCAGCCGGTTTCAGCCTAAGAGAGCACTGAGGCACATAGCGGTTGGCTTTACAAGACACGTGAAGATTTACAGCAGAGTGCGGAAACGGTCGGCTGGCAAGAGTGGTTCGAAGAGGACAGGGGAGTGGAGTCATCTGAATGCTGACGAGGCAAAAGCTTTGAACAGATTGTACGAGACCGAAGCCTCGATGATGTGGAGAGCAGGTTTCAAGGCCATATGGGAAGATGGCGGTGTAGCCTTTCAGCCCCCGTAAGGTGGAAGGGGGGGCCTGGTTACCTGTAGCCACTTGCATGCCCTCCTAGAATCAGTTACGACTGCGAGTGTATGTATACATGTAGTGTACTTATGCTCACAAAAAAAAAAAAAAAATCAAACTGTTTTCACAAAACACTTTCCAGTGTGTTACACGAGTATTCACATGTCTATTGTAAGGAAACAACTTTTCCTTATTTCCCGTCGCACTGCATACCGCGTACACGACTATTCCCGCCAACACGACTATCACGCCCAACGCACCCGGATCGGCTGGTAACCCGCGACCCGGCCCTACGCTTCGACATTTCATAACCTCGACATCAGGCCCGACAGGGCCCCTTTTCGCGATCGCGTTACCGTTGCCGAAACACTTCGCTAATAAAACAATTCGCGCATGCATTCGCTCATTGTATTGTTTGCTTTGATAGTGCAATAAGGGCAAATATTCCCGACCATCGCAGCACAATCTGTGCCACGCATGGTCCTCTGCAATCTCATGTGGGGGTTTCACTTCATTTATTGACGAGGAACCCAAGCCGCCAGGGCAACAGGGTCCCCTCCCGTTGCACATTTGTGCACAAATTCTGTTATTTTTTCATCAATCTTTCCCGCTCCCACGTGGTTGCAGTAGCCATGGCGGATTTCACAGGCACGCATTTTCTCTTCAATCGACGTCCTAGACCCGCGCTTAGAGTGACCGAAGACGGCTGGTATAGTCGTGTGCCACCTGAGCCGCCACTGCCACCTGCGCCACCTGCACCCCCTGCCCCTCCTGCTCCTCCGACGACTCCCGCTCCTCCTGCTCCCCCCATTCCGCCGACTCCATCCTGCAAGGGCAATCAATCCGTCCTCATGCTGTTACTATCGCCCGTCTCGCGTTTAATGGGTTCCTGTCAAAACCAGACTCAGGCAAGGCACCAGATGATTACATACCTGCGCCGGCTCCTGCGCCACATTGGGGCGAGCCTGAAAACGGCCCGTGGGACGAGAGACTCGTGGGCGCCGATGACGATGACTGCGTTGAATGCTCGTCGCGCGATGGCTTACCTGAGAAGCCGCCGATTCCATCATTTCCGTCGCCTAACCGAATGTGTCCCCACCCCTTTTCTAAGAATCGTGATGCCTGCCCCACCTCTCCCAGGCACAAGCCGACGCAGAGAAAGCGTCATGCTTATACCTCCCAAGAAAGGCTTCAGTGGCTCGTGCGCCTGGAGGTAGCAGCTTCGGTAAGAGAGGTGGCGCTAGAGTCGAGCATCCACCGCAAGTGCTTGGGGGAGTGGAAGAAAGCCGCCAAGCTTCTTAAAGATGCACACGATGCACGAAAGCGCCTACACGGGCGCATCGGATCTTCATGCTATCGCCCCATGGAGTTGAAGGTCTATGCCCAGCTCCTCGAATGGCATCGCAAAGGTTTGGCCATCTGTATCAGTCGGCTCCAAACTATTTCCCGGACGTGAAGTGATGAATGAGCTGTATCCTGACGTGAAGTTCAAGGGATCGCAACGGTGGTCGGAGGGGTTCCACAAATGGTGGAATATGAGGGGGCGCGTTTAGACGAAGGTTGGCCAGGAACTCTTCAATCGTAAATGTCTTCCAGCCTAGAATTTCCTCGTTTATGTTGTACCTTGTTGTTGCTCGAACACATTGTTATTTGGCTAGAATGTGATAAATATTATTTTCTCCCGTTTTTTGTGCTCCCATCCATCCCTGTGCGAAGATTGTGAGGCACGGGTGAAGAAGTTATGGCAGTTCTTCCGCGACGCGCGTCGTGAATACGACATCGACAACAAATGGATCATCAACGCGGACCAGACTCTGCTGTGGCTGGAGATGCTGGCAGACCACACCATGGAAAAAGTCGGCTCGAATTCAGTGCCCACCAGAAGCGGAGGCTTTCAGAAGGAACGCGTCACGGTCATGTGGCTTGCATGGCGACTGGGAGAAACTGAAACCATGGGTGTTTCTCAAGCGCGCGCGAGTCTGAAAGAATGTTCCCACCTGGTAAGCAGCACGTGATCTTCCTCTTCTTCGACGTTTATCGTATTGGTATTGCTTTGTGTTTCTTGAACTAACCACCCTTCCTGTTTATGCGTAGATGTGGTTGTGGCGGTGCAGCTCAACAGCTAGATGGAAGCTGAAGGTGTCGTGCGCTAGCTCGACGAGGGCGTGAAGCCCTTCATCAAGCCAAAATTTGGAGTGCGCGTGCGGATCGCCATGCTTGTCCTCGATTCGTATCAAGGACATCTGAAGGCGGAGGTGAAGCATAAGTTCGTCGACTTGAAGATAGTGCCGGCGCTCATCCCTGGAGGCTGCACGGCGGAGTTGCAGCCTCTCGATGTCTCCATCAACCGTTCCTTCAAGGCGAGCGTGAGCCAGCTGTACGAGAAGTGGTTCAAGGAGGAAGGCATCTGTCAGAATCCCAACCACTAGACCACTGGGATAAAAGGGCTTGTTTCAGTAGCGGGTCAGTGCGCCCATAACCCCCCAGGCAAACGCGCCTGTAACCCCCCCTAGGATCGATCGGGGATCTCACAGTGCAGCTCTACTGACACCCCCCCACACTGGGAGGCCCAGGACTGAGCACAGTGGCAACGGCCTACATGTGCATACACCGGGATTCGAACCCGAGACCGCTCTGATACCATGTGAATCAAGAAAAACAGGAATGAAATGACTAAGTGAAAGTTGGGTACAAAAGGCAAACCCTAGGCAACTGTACCCCATATGTGCTACCCCACTATAGCCTACAGTAGCTATGTCATATAACTCTGACAGCATCAATGCTCTAACAGAGAGGGATCCCTAGAGGGAAGACCAGGTAGCACGTAATGCCTTGTAACAAGTATATAATGGTCCTCCTGGCCTTTCCACACCTCAATGCTAGGAGGACCAGGTAGCACGTAATGCCAGGATCCCTAAAGTGCGGGGTGCACTTATAGTTAATCAAGGTGTCTTGGGGGGTGCGCTTCTAATCAAGGACCGACCATAAGCGCGGTGCTCCAGATAGAAGCGCACACGCTTTTCATAGGCCTGCGCTTATATCCGGGGTAACACGGTACTTCAAATGCACACTGTTCAGATTTCGGTATAGTTGGTTCGGCCACGACGCATTCTGCCCGAGGCAAAACAAAATATATCCCATATGAAAAGGAATCAAACCATGGGGAACATGCGATACGTGTTTCCATACATTTGCCACACGAGGGACAGATGTGTGCCATATGAAGGCATGTAGGTCGGCAGAGGCAGAGAGGCACGCGCATGCACTCGGTTCCATCCCATCATTGGTCGAGAACCAGACACCGGAGCGTCCGGCGCCGCGTGAGATCCATGAGGAGGTATGGGCAGAGGTCAGCTCCTGTGATTTTGAGGCCTTGAACTGTGCGATGAATCCATCAGCGAGCTCGACTGGGCTTCCTTGACACACTTCTTTGTGGATTGAAGCGGTTGAAGGGTCGGCCAAATGATGAAGCGGGCACATTGGTCCTCCTGGCCTTTCCACGCCTCAACTTAGGCGTGCCATCCAAGCCAGGCATGGGCCATCGAGAAGCAATAATGGAGCATCCAAGGGCATTATGGGAGGGGAGGTGGCACCAGCTGTACGAGTCCGCCTTGGCCGTAGCACGCCCGGCGGTTCGCCCACTCACTTACACATCTGCGAACCAGGACCCATACACTATCCGCCTGGCACTTTGTCGGACGTGGTGTAAAGTGGGGGAGTGGAGTCGAGGGTTGGATTGCCTCACTGTAGGGGAGATGACGCGACCGTCCGAGGCGATGGTGGAATCATTGCGAGGGAAGCACCCTGCAAGCGTTGAGGAGCTACCGGATTGGGCCCACGATTACACTGCCGACGATGGTCAGCGGCCGATACTCTAAGCCAACACTTTGGCCAGAGCCATCCATCACAGCTGCTCGTGCGTCAGTAGCGGGTCCTTCGGGTTGGGACACGGATCATATGCGAATCACTTTCCTCACCGAACCCTCCTATCTTGTCCATCTACTGGAGTTGTTCAACCAATGGGTGGCGGGACAGGTCCTCGAGCGAGTTCGACCCTAGCTTGCAGCATCGAACAGCGGCCCCACCTGTTCGACTTTTCCACACACGACAGCGGCAGTTAGCCGTGGAGGAGCTCCAAGTTTTCCGTAGTATGGCTCGTAATGATGCTATTCTGGCCCGTTCCACATTCCTTCAGTGTCACAGGTCCAGGATATGGAATTGTGTTCTATGTAAATTATGAACCATGGGTACAACTACGGGACTATATATAGGCACGTAACAGGTAGGTAACCATGATTTTTCTAGAATGAAATCACGCTCTAGAACCGACACACCCTTCCTAAATCGGTATAGTCATTTGGTGAAAAGTAACGCATGTGTGTTCAAACGGAACGTCTGCGGAGAGTCACTCTACAACGGGATGTGGAATGCATTGGAAGACATGGGTTGTACGGTGAGATAGAAGCTTTACATACGTTCGCACTACTTGTTATGCTTGTAGGTGAAATTGACAAGAGTTTCACTCGCAAAATTTGAAAAGAAAAAAACACACAATGGCATGGCAACTTCAATATAGCAGGAACACAATATAACACCAAGCAAGCTAGCAAGTCGGCCTCCAGCGAAGCACAAAGGCGGCTTACCAACGTCGCACCAAGGTGGCTTGCCAACGCTGCAGCAAGGTGGCCTGCAAGCGCTGGAGTCGCAGGAGAACGTGCGCGCACATGTGCACACCTAACAAAGTAGGTGCAGGTCTGCTCAATAGACGGTTGCGTTCACATTGTGTACGTGATGCATATTGCACAGGTGCTAGGTTGGTCAACGTTCGCAAAACCGCATGGAGCGAAGTTTGCGCTTCCCGCAGAACTTCGTCGACAAGTTACTTGGTCGACCAGAAGAAGGCCACTAAGTCGGCGCCGACTTCGACGGCCGTATGACGCCACACCGACAATCACCTTCGTCGACCACCGAGGCCCGACGCCGTCCGCCAACTTCACTTCGTCAGATCAGCGTCAGGTCAGCCTTGCCGTGGTCAGCTCCAATTGAGATCCTTTGCATTAGCAACATGTAAACACTAAAGGATACCTACATATTATAAAACATATACATACATCACTTTCATACATCCCAAAAGGCTTTCCACCTCCTCCTCCTCCCCCGGTTCCATCACCATCTCCTCTTCCTCCTCAGATTCTGCGCCCCGGTTGCTTTTGGCTCTTGTTCAACCCTATCATCCAAGCATTCAAATAGGGGGTTGCTATCACCACTGGGGCTGGCGCATCGTTGTAGACGTTAGCCTCTTTTCTGTCCTCAGGTGAGCGAGAGCAAGATGGCCCCCGCTTCCATCCACAGTAGTGATGATGCTATATGCCTTCAAGGAATGACACACAAAGTCTACAAGAACGTCCTCCCATGAGGCTTCGTGACCTGAGCACCTTCTCGACAAGAGGCTTCTGCAGGTTGCATGCACGATGGACAATATAGGAGGATTGGGTTGAGGTTAACAGGTCGGGTGGGCAGCCACATGGAGGACAAAATGTGAACCTCACCTCTTTTTGTGATACCTTGGTCAGCGAACCACGTCTGGTAATGGTTCATAACAAATGCCTTGATCCTGACATCTGGTGTTTGCAGTCACCAAGGATGATCGACTGGATGACATGCAAGAGGTTGAATGTGCTCTTAACTAAAGATGTAAGATGTCCGCGGTAGGAGTCGGCGATGACTAGAACTGGAATGGTTGTTGCCGATCCTTGAACGTGTATGCTTGGGGCGAGGACATTTGTCGTCCAGTCTCGTTCTCGTCCATCCACTCTTTTGGATGGATCCTGATAATGACGTCTGCAATTGTAAAGGCAAAGAGATTGGTATGTACCACGTGGTACCGGTATCTTGGGCAAGGTGAGGCTCTCAAAGATGACGTAGGCGGGTAGCTTCCTCCCCGCAGCGGTGCACGGCAGCATGACGGTAAGCCTATACTTTTCATATCCCGACGTGCGCACATGCACTATCCACGTCCCTCGCCTCTCTAGTGTCTGCTGACAGGGCAGTTCGATGAAGAGTGACTTCTGGTCGACAGTCACCACGTTCTTCAGTGGAATCTCCACTTGACCATCATCTGACGTGCGAAGTGCCAAACATATTCGACTTTCTCTTTGCAATCTGTTAGGGGACATGGTGGGAGAACACGAGGATCGTTTTTTTGTTTCCGACAAATGAGAAGTATAGTGACAAGGCAGATTCAATAAAGATGGCTCACCAGATGCTAGTTTTAGGACCGTCTCCATTTACACATATATGGTAAGGCCCCATCGGTTATGAAACTCAGAGCTCCATCGGCTGGAAGCCTTCAGTCAATGGTGCTGCTTCATGTACGCACAACTCCAGGCCCGCAACAAGGACACACGGACACGCAAGCCTTGGCTACGCTTGCCGAGGAAGCGATAGTAGAGTGTTTCCTCCATTTGCAGATATATTGGGGCGCGACCAGCACCAGCAAGACGCTTCCTGCTGGTCGCGGAAGTATTGGTCCTTGCGGCATTGGAAAATGCACATGGGCTACACTCAAGTTGTTGTCTAGAAGGAAGCGGATCTAATTAAGCTTTTCAGAGGCCGATATTGCCCGCATTTTCCGCCTCCTAACGTTGACCCTTGGATCCGGATGAGCCTCGTTCTTGTTGTATTCGAGGTTTTCTGGCAAGGTACTGGTGCACGGGAACACTGTCATTGGAACATTGGGTAGAGCATTATCGGGATTATTAGGGATTAGAATATCGGCCTCTGAAAAGCTTAATTAGCTTCCACACATGCATATTTAACCATATGCGTACCTGCTATCTTCAGCCTATCATGCAATATGCACGCATTGCACCTCGCCGAAGCAAGGTCTCATGTCGCACGTCGGACTACTGGGACGACATACCACTTTGACACATTGTCAAGGCTCGAGCAAGACGAGAGCAGGCGTGGTGAGAAGTGTTTCGTGATGTTGAGGGTGTGAAACATGCAGTCCGCTGAAGCGAGCGAGAGAACGGCGGTGGAAGAGCACAATGCAAGATGAATTGACCTCGTCAACCAAGTTCAGGCAGGAGAGTTGGCAGGGAGCACGTGGCCCCTCGTACAATGTGACAAGGTGGAGGGTGGTGGTGGGGATTGCACTGATGGCGTGCCAGCATGTGGACTCCATGGCTGCCTATTGGTCACTACTTGAGATCAATTAAGACAAGACTCTCCAAGGAGTCTGCAGAGCAGTCGTCATATTTCAGATCTCAATCATACAGCACACTAGATTGCAAATTACAAAGATAATGAGGATATAACGAGACGAAAATAACTACCACTGGTATAGATACGAGGCTAACGAGGCTACTAACTAGCGTAAGGGCGGGAGGGTGGGTTCTAGATTCAGATCTAGAAATGATTCGACTAGGTGGCAGGTCTGTGGACCTGCCACGAGATAAGGAGCAGATGACTCCTTACTGCATAATCCTTTACAAGTCTTGTCATAATCTTTAAATTTTGAAAATTGTATTTAAAAATTTTACATATTTCACTATCAGTGCTTGAATTCAGGAGCCAACGGAGCTTGATTTGTACGACTTTTTGCGGTAGAAACCACACAGATCAATTGTGTTCCTTGAGTTCATTCAAAATCTGTGCTTTTTTTCGATTTCTGTGACTTCCACCCCCCCTTTCCCCCCTCGTCCCAAAATCAAACACCCTGCTGAAGGGGGGTATTTATCAATACACCCTAGGGTGTACAATGCGGGCTTAAATACAACGAATATACATAGGCAGACGCTATGCTGCTTTGTCCACACACTCATTGCCAGTTGACATGCGCACATGATGGTCTTGTGGGACCAGCTCATCTCTCAACAACTAGTTCCCTCAATGACTTGCCCACCTATACTGAAGGCTGACTAACTCCTGGACTGGCTAACTCCTCTCTGCTCACTCAGATTCCTTTTGCTGCGACTCACCTCGTTCCCCTGCCTGGCTGCCTGTCATCTGCACCCGTGTCTTTCTGCGGCAGGGAAGCGAGAAGAACACGCAGTTCCAGGAGCAGCACGATTCCGGAATGCTCATGGTGGGTACGCCTGCACCACCTGCGCCTGCACCAGTAGCTCCTGATGCTCCCGCCCTGCTCCAGATGTTCGAATTGGGGTCTTGAGCACGCACCGCATCTGTGGCTCTTCCAACTGCTGGAGGCTGTTGCTTGTCACGGCCATGCGCGTTCTCGTCATCCTCGTCTCCCCCATGCGCCATGTTGAGGTCGAAGGACAGCCCTGGCTCTGCCCTCTCACTCGCACCATGACTCCCACCACCACCACCAGCAGCAGCAGTGGCAGCCAGAGAGAAGGTTGCTCTGGTGGACGAGTCATTGGCACGAGACCCGTGCTCGCCTGCTGCTGTCACACCAAACCCTCTCTCCGGCTGACCTGGAAGAGAGCCGGAGAGAGGCAAGTCAGACGCCTGCCAGGGCGGCAGGTTGCGATCAAGGATTTCCACGCGGGAGCGCTGTGTCTTGTGCCATCGCTGTGTGTCCACCGCATACGCCGCCGCCTCCTCTCCCCTGCACATCCTCTCCTCCCCTCCACCTCCTCGCATATCCTCCTCCATCCCTCTTGCAGCCCTGGCCGGCACCCCAAGCCCACCGTGAAGTCCGCCAGCAGCAGAAAAGTTGGATGGCGGAGGTCCCCACTGCTCTCCTCTGCGCACGTGCGCTGCTCTCAGCCACCCAGCCATAGCAGTCACATCCGCCACTCCTGCTGACGTCGTGTCTGCTGATGCTGCACCACCATGCACCGACTCGTCGCCCGCCATGCCATCGTACGCCATACCGTCTTTCTCCCCGTCCTCAACCCGCACACCATGCTTCGCCAAGTCAAAGTCCCTCGATTGATGAAACTCGATACCACCGCCTCGCATTCTGTTTCCATCAGACATGTTAACATTTTCCCCTGTATCTTCTCCTCTCTCATTCCCTGACCGAAAACGCTTCGGAGGGCTCAGCAACTTTTCACCTGCCACGGGATTTGTTTCAGTGAAGTGCTGCTGTTCGTGCACTCTCAACCCTCGCTGCCCACCTTCCGCACCCTGCAATCCGGCTGTCACGGACGAGCGATGGGAAGGCAGTGAGAAGGAGTAGGCGAGGGAAGGGGAGGCAGCGGAGGGGGCACTGAGGGAGGTTCGATGAGGGGGTGATGTGTTGGTGATGCTGGCCTGTCGTGTGAAGGGGGTTGCACTCGCTGAAGTTCTCTCCATCTGCTGCTTCTCACTCTGCTGGCCGTCTGACTGCCTTGCTGGGTGCTCCATAAATGAACCGCCCGAGACAATCTCACTCTGCGGCCGCTTGCTTCCCGACGTTTGTCCTTTTCTCTCCAGGCTCCTCACCCCTCCAACTTCAGAAGCTCCTTTTCCCCTACTCTTGGCCTTCCGAGACACGTCCTTCCTCATGGCCTCCCCGCCACTCGCCGCTGAATCAAGCACGGACAGCCGAGGCCAGAGCATCCCTGTGCTGTCTCTCACAGTCGCAGTGGTGCCCTTTCCATCACCACCCTTTCCATCACCACCCTTTCCACTACCCTTCTTTTCACTTTCCCGCCTTACAGTGTTTCTGCTCCCATCCCCAGCATTCGTACTCACACCCGAGCGCCCACTACGACCAGCAGCAGCAGAAGCTCCAGCCGCTCCTGACGCCACATGACTTGGCCCAGCCGCAGCAGCAGCAGCAGCAGCAGCAGCAGCAGCAGTAGCAGCAGCAGCAGTAGCAGCGGCAGCAGCAGCGGGTGCAGAGGCCTGCATGGTCTGAGAGCCCAGGGAGCAGCGCCATCGGTCGTGCTGATGCTGCTTCAGGCCTCCAGCAGTGGGGAAGCTCTGCTTGCACACAGGGCACACGTGCGGGCCCTCGTCGTCCGACCGCAACCACTTGGCGAGGAGCTTGCTCACACGAGGGGCCATGCCTCCCTCCTCGTCGCACACAGCAGCCCTGCTGCCGCCACTTCCAACGGTGACTGTTCTGGCAGCAGCACTGGCGCTTGGAGCAGCGGTGGTGGCCGAGGAGAGTGCGAGCGAGGAGGCAGGCTGGGAGGCTGAAGGTTGAACAGCCGTTGTCACCGCCGCTGCTGCTGGGTCGGCAGTGCAATGTGGCACGGCGCTGTGGTGGCCAGAAACGGCGGCAGCAGCAGCAGCCAGCAGCATGGCGCGCTGCACTCCCATCAACGCCTGCCCAGAGAGCGCCGCAGACAACGCAGAGGCTGATGCAGGAGCGGCAGGTACTGGGGATGCTGCAGCCGGAGCAGAGGCAAATGAAGGGTTGAGCTGGGTGGATGGAACACGCGAGAGCGACGCCGGGATGACTGTGGCGTTTCCCATCACAGCGCCGTACTCCTGTGCGCTCAGTAGACGTCTTCCTTGTGAGAAGCCTGCATCGACTGCGTTCGCTGCTGCAAAGCCGGCAGCAGCGCCGGCAGCAACAGCTGCGGCGGCGTTGGAGCCGCTGGCACTCGATGCAGCTGCCGCGGCAGCAGCAGCAGCCATGACGACAGCGATCATGGACTCTCTGCTGCGTGCCTCCTCGCCTGCCGCCTCCCGGTGTAGCGCAGGTAGGCCTCGAGCTACCACTGCTGGATCGCATGCTGCCGCCGTCTGGAAGGTTGAACTCACATGCGTTTCTCTTCCCGCGGTAGCACGGCCAGTACTGGCAGCAGGTTGGGAGTCTCCAAGGCGGAAAAGCGACGGTTCATGCTGAAAAGGCGGATGTTCCGGGGACAGGCGGACTCCTGCCGTCGCCGAGACGCCAGGACGGTGGCTCCAGAGAGCTGTCGTGGATGGGATGCTGAGATCTTGCTGGTTGGGTGACCGAAACCAAATATCTCTGGACTCGATGGCGTTTCTTTCAAGCAGGTGTATCGTTGGAACCACAGACGTGCCCGGAGCAGCGTAAGGAGCAACATTGGATCCAGAAATCCGCAGATCTGCTTCAAGTTGACTGGACCCGACGCCTGCTTCGCGCCGATACTGAGGCTCATGCGTTTCCTGACGGCGATCGCCGGTTGCAGGGCCATGCGCGCGATCTTCAGGACAACGAATCGATGGCAAATGTCGTGAAGGAAACTCGGCGATTTCTCTTCCCACTCGCACTTGATCATCGCCTCCATGATGACGGTCATGCGGCGGAATTTCTGAGTGATCGGCATGGGCCCTGATGCCCAAGGATGGACTGGGAGCGAGACTGAGCTCAAGCTCTAGTTGAGGCTGAGGACGAGGAACTTGCCTTGCATTTTCATACTGATCGCGCATTTCGGAAGGAAAGAAAGCTATTTTTGAGGAACTTCTATCTAGATTTCCCAGTTGAGCTGCCTGTGACGAAGTTTGTGCGAGGTAAGGCATCACGTGAGTTTGGTCTAGTGACTGCTCTGTGACAAAGAGACTAGGATCCAGCACGGTAAGGGTTTCACTGAAGTTCACAGTACACTGATGAGCACATGATGAAGTGAAGCAATGTTGCCCTCTTGGAATTGGAGGGATCGCTTGCCTGAGTCGCCGACAGCTGGTGACTCGCACCCTACGCATCCCCTTTTTCATTTTCAGCATCGCGAAGTTCAGCACCAAAAAAAGAATCGAACTTCCCCAGAGGAATACCTGCCATCACCACTCACCTCCAGTAATTTCTACTTATCTGTGCTATTGATAGTCAAACGCATATGCAATTAAATTCCTCGAGATATTTAGCATAACGTACTTTGACATGTATATTTTATATAGTAATTGTTCTCGCAGGAGGAAAAACCGTAGAAAGTAACAGAAACGTTTTTCTGGATCTTAGTGTGTTAATTCTTATATTAACCCCATAGGGGGTATTTCTTGTGTACAATTACAGCTGGAAACTTCGAACTTGAGAGCTCATCAGAGCCTCACTTTGCCCAACAATCCGGCATGCAGCCCAAACACCCCAGGTCCCCAGCCTGTCATTTCTCCACGATGGATGGCAATGGAGCTAGCCCTAGATTCTGGTCCTTGCGCCACCCGACGCTGCTGCACTGGCGAGGTTGATGCGTGAACCGCAAAGCATAATCTTGGTTACACCACCAGAAGCGATGGCTGGCGGTGAGGTGCGCTCACTCGTAGATTCGGTATTTTGCACCTGCTGTTCAGGATTCCGTCGATTCTTAAGCGTTGGGTTTGGAAACAATGGAACGTCACATGGTCAATGAAAATAATAAAGGACAAACCACGTACGTTTAGGCCAAGAATTTGTACTCTTGACTGGGTTCATTTTGAACACGGTAGATATGTGCTGCATTTCGCTATGAAAATAACTGTAATTTGACAAAGTGATAATTGAAAACAAGCAGACTCCGTATTCAAAAAGTACTGAAAACATTGTTTTGCTGGGTGATTTTGATTATGTACTGAGTTTTTGCGCACCACGAAAAGCGATAAACTGACGCGATCCAGCATGAAAACAAATCCACCAATGAAGATTTGTGGAAGGATCTATTCATCATTAGAAGTTCACGCGCGGACTGTTATGATGAGCAAGATATTCCAAACCTTCACGAAGGCCGTCGATTTCAAGGAAATCTTCACCGCAAAAGATATGTGATATATAGAAGGATCTATATGAAACGGTTAACAGTTCCAAAATCCTGCTTTAGCTGCTCTCAGGAAACAAGGGAGGAAGCTGCACAGTACACAACCCTTGAAACATCGGTGCCCGACCGAAACGACCAAACCTAGATCTAGGGGTACCCCAAACTCAGGGATTGCGGAGCGCAATCAGATATTTGAGAGTTTGGAATCCTGAACCTCACCTTGTAACAAAAGTACACGCCATAGTCTCCGCCTTCATTCATACCAAAAAAAATGAACTCGATAATGTCTAACGTACAAAATGAGAACATGCATATCCACTCTGCTTCATAGAAATTCCGTAAGCCTGCTTACAAGGCATGCTTAGGGTGCATTCTTGGCTCGTGTCTTACATGAGGTCAGACACGAAGTGAAGTTGAGGAAGACCCGATGTGACCTGGAACTCTGGCAAATCAATGTTCGGAAGACCCGAAGTGGGCCACTTTGGGTCGTCCGAACCTCCATCCAAACCTCCACTTCGTGTCTGACGCGAGGTAGGAATGCACCCTTATAATGATTTCCAGCGCATCAAAGTTGTCATCAGAAAAATGTCACAAGTTGTTACGAGTGCAATTGAGTGAGCGAACTAAGATTGCGCTATCGAAGCAAAACAGTACATTGAGCGAAGGAATGAGCGAATGTTATATTGCGAACTAGCGTGGTAACGGTAACGCGCGAAATGTGGGGTGCGCGACGGGACTGGTGCCGAGGTTGGGAATTGTCGAGGCGGAGGACCGGAGCGCGGGTTACCAACCGAGCCGTAAGGTTGGTTTGCGATGTGAACAGTGGCGGGAACAGTGGTCGAGGCGAGGGTCGCGAGTGGTAACGGTTTACTGTTGGCGGGAACAGTCGTGTACGCGATAAACATGGGCGCGAAGTAAGGAAAATTTGCAATACCCCCCTCCCCAAGGAGGCTCCCTTACGAGAGTGCGTGTACGTCTCTGAAATTTCGGCTGCGCAGATACTCGGTGAGGACGGGGTGGTTCTCAATTTTATCCAAGGGTACCCAATTGTCTTCCAAGGGCGTATGGTCCTTCCACCATATCAGGAACTCGATGCGACAGGCTCCACGTGGGTCGCGGACTCGATGGCTCATGATTTTCTCGGGGCTGATGGTCGGCTCCGTGGGCTGACGTGTCATGCTTGACAAGCGGCTGCGCGGCAGTTGACTTGTGGACGGGACGTAGGGGCAGAGGAGGATGGCGTGGAATGACGGGCTTACGTACCAGTCAGCGGGCAGGAGGAGGTGGGCCGTGACAGGTGTTATCATGTGGCTGATGCGAAATGGCCCGCAATATCTTGGGCGTAATTTTGGGGTGATGGGCAGGCGGAGGTTTTGAGTGTCAAGCAGTACGAGATCGTCGGGCTGGTAAGTGGCGGGGTGGCGATGGCGATCGGCGTTGCGCTTCGCGGTTACATTTGATAAATTTTTATGGCTTCGGCAGCTCGGGTCCGGGCTGCTTGTAAAATCTCGGCGAACTGCTGCGCACGTGGGACCGGGTTGTCGGGACTCGGTGTCATGGGCAGTGTTGAGTTCTATCCGTAGTTGATGTAGAAAGGCGACTGTTGGGTCGTGGTTGACGTGGAGTTGTTGTATGCGAACTCGATGAGTGGCGAAGAAGAGTTCATTGTCGCCAGACAAGTTGTTCGCAAATGTCTCTACATGCAAGAACTTCTGCAAGAGGCGATGGTCGCGACGAGTGGGTCCTTCAAGTTACTCGACAATCAGCGTCGGTGATGACTTCAAATGGACTGGATGGGTCGGCAATGCGAAGGACTGGAGGGGACATGAGCAATTGTTTCAGCTCATGAATAGCCGCTCAACCTCCCCCCCCCACACAATTTTTTTATCCTTGTGCAGCAGGTCGGTCAGCGGGCTGGTTATCCCCGCCATATTTGGGATAAACCGCCGTACATAACACGAACCCCTGGAAATTCCATGACATTAGTCAACACCTTTCACTCCTAGATGGTCTTGGGTCGATCTTGATGCCGTCGCGAGAGATGACGTGCCCCAACAACTCTTGCTTTTAAAAAACTCACACTTACCGTAGAACCCTTGGTCATGGGGCGATTGTTTTGAAGGCGCTTGAAAACTTCGTCGAGGTCGCGGGGGTGTTGCTCATGTGTCCTGCTAAAAGTCAGGATATTGTCCAAACAGACGATTGCACACTTGTCGAGTAGGTCGGAAAACACCCAGTTCATGGTCACTTGGAATGTGGAAGGCGCGTCCGTAAGGCTGAAAGGCATCACTGTAAAGTCGTGCGGTCCGTAGCGGATTCGGAAGGCGGTGATGTGACAGTCATTAGTGAAGACTATGATCTGGTGGTAACCGCCGCATAGGCCAATCTTCGAGAAATAACGAGCGCCGGGCAGTTGGTCATGGAGATCGTCGGTGCGTAGGATGGAATATCGATATTTGATGGTAACCTGGTTGAGCGCGATAGTCGATGCATATTCGAATGTCGCCGTCCTTTTTAGGAGTGAACAGGATCGGCGTAGCAAATAATGAAGTAGGCCTGATGAATCCCTTCTCCAACAGTGTTTCACTTTGGCTTCGAAGCTCCGTGAGGTCAGGCTAAGTAAGCCGCCACTGTGTATGAACTTCAGTTGCGCGCCGTGCTCAAGGGTGATTTTGTGGTCCTTGGATCGTTCGGGAGGTAGGCCAGGTTGCAGGTTGTCGGGGAAAATATCAGGATATTGCCGAATCAGATGCGCTAGCTTGGTTGGTACAACTGCAATCAACTTATCGATGTTGCTTCCGTCCGTGTCGGTTACCATCTTGCGCAGATGAACGGCATACAAATGTGCACCTCTATTGACGTGGCGTATAATTGTGATGGCTTTGCCACATGTAGACTTGATGTAGTCCGAAGTCCACACGGGCAGTCTAAATAACCCCTCGTATGAATAATGCTACACTATTTTGCGAGCTACGTATAGTAGGCAACTGGGTATCCTTGGCTATCCAAAATAGTGCAAGCGCAATAGCTATCAGGGTCGGGCAAGTGAGCTGCAATTGATGTCGTCTCCGTTCGCCGCCTATTCTTTTCTTCGAAGCCGCATGTGAGCTCCTCAAATGGGTCGCTGCTCGCCGCTAGTTTGTTTCCTTCGCCTTCTTCGCTGGCGACTCCGGGCGCACTTCACCTCGCGCTTGGTTTAGCTCGGGGTTTTCTTCACATAGTCGCTTCATTCGTATCGTTAACGACTTCATTTCGGACTATATTTCCACCACTTGCTGCATCAACGGGCTAAGTGTTGCCTGATCCATCTGTTGCAAGCTACGTCTAGTAGGCAACTGGGTAACCTTTGTCGAAGAGAAAGGCCCCGCCCTCGCTCGGGCGCAGCCGATCTCGCCGTCGACGAGAAGTTCTCGACGGATTGGTCGAAGAAGTTA